ATAGATAGAAAATAAAAAATATAATATTATATGATATTATTAAAATTAATATTATTATATTATTATTACAATTAAAAAACATTATTATTACAATTAAAAAACAATATTATTATTGTAATATTATTAAAATGATAGATTCATGTTACTGAATTTCACTGGCTAAAATTTTCAAAAAATTTACTAAAATTCAGATTTTCACTAAAATCATCAATGTCATCTTGCTTTAAATGTTAAAAATGAATTTATGATTACAAATTAATTTAGTTTTTGTTTTAATATTTTAGAAAAGCATGCAAACACAGGCCACATAAGCAACTTTTTTTTTTTTTTTACTTTACACTTCTCATTCTTGCATAATGTCAGTGTTACTTTGACAAGAAGGTATTTGTGTCCCATCCAAAAACATGGGGAATGGGGTAAAGTTGTCCTCCTCTTCCAGCTCTTTGGCCCCTGTCCGGATCATTTATTAACCAGAAATCACAGCCCGTTTTTTGGGGGGCATGATGCAACTGTTTGGGTGGTTTTCAAGAGTCATTTATTAAACTGTCTGCCTTATCAATGTTATTTGTATTAGTTGCTACCTACTGAAAGACCAAATTTCATGTTCTTGCCCCAATTTTTAAGCAAACCGTAGTCAGAAGCTGTTTTAAAAATGCCAATGTATTTGGGCTTTTTGGGAGGGTTTCTCATCAAACATTACTTAGACTTTGGCAAAACCTCCCAAAAAGTGGTTATCTGTAAAGACAAGAGAATTATTGCCAATTGACCTAAATCTAGTCCACAGGACAGGTTAATTATTCAAAAGATATGTTTGCCGATGCTTTATAGGTTCCACGTTTGGGAACCAGGGTAGTCAGTAGACAAGTGTGTGTGAGGAAAGTTTGTTTTCTCGCAGTCATGGCTAAGCTGGTGGAATGTGCACCCAATTTCTCAGAGGGGCGTAACAAGGAGGTAAGATAAAGACACAGACTGGTTCTATTCAAAAAAGGAATTCGGTTCCATTAACAGTTCATCTGTTTATTCAACAAAGCTGCAACACAGCTAATGTAACCACTTATTTTTCAATGCAAAAGAAAGCTATTTCCTGTGAATGTGCTAGTCTTCCGATTCATTAATGTCAATTAATTAGAAGAATAACAAAGTGCAGTAACAGTAAAATTTGCTCTACAAATAACTGTTTACGATTATGCTACTAAATAAAATAATATAACAAGTACCATGGCAAACATAACATACTGATTGTGTACAACCAAAATAAATGGAAGGGAATGCCACAGGAAGTGTCACACTTTCAAGTTACAAATGGCCGCTCCGATTTTACTTTAAAAAAAATCTAAGGCGACCAGTGTAGATCGATAACAGAACAAAGAACTCTTATGAATCGAAAACATGCAACGAAAAAAAGTGTATTCCGATTCCCGATTCACTCTGAGTTGGTTCGATTCATAAGAGTTCTTACTGAATCAAAAACATGCAGACCACAGTTTAGCCCAATTACAGTGTGACTAATGACTCGATTCGGTTCTTTTTGTGAATTAAAAAGAGTAAACGGAAGATTGTGTAGTCCGATTACTGAACGAATGATTCGTGTGTGCCGGTTCTTTTTAGTGAATAAAGTAGCAACCAGTCCGATTTCCGAACGAATCACTAATGATCTGATCGTTTAAATTCACAGCACGACCAGTGTAGTCAGATTCCTGAACGACTCTAATGAGTTGATTCTTTTAACTGAATCAAAAACAAACAGCGCTACCAGTGTATCCTGATTCAGTACGAATAACTTGAATTGAATTAGTTCTTTTTTATATACAAAATCACCGATTCCCGAACGAATGCGCCTGTTCTTTTTAGTGAATAAAACAGCGCACCCGTTGTAATCAGTTTCCCGAATGAATCACTATAATGAGTCGGTTCTTCTTAATTCGCTGTATGACCAACGTAGTCCGATTTCTGAGGGAATGAGTCGAGTCGGTTCATTTAATCGGTTAAATTTCTGACATTTAGTCGGTTCATGAATCAAACACTTAGCTTTTGGCTACAGTAACTGTGAGATCACCAGATTAAAGCTTTTTTATATATATATAAAATTATTTTATGAAATTAATTATTATTTAGTAGGCCTATTGTTGTTTATAAATTAAGGCCAAGGAAAATATAA